GGTGAAGTGATCTTCAGTATGATTGTATGAATTATTAAAAATTTTGCTAACTATAAGTTTGACCTTATTTCATCCTTAGACATTTTTATTTGATCTCAAAGAATGCAGCTTAAATGGAAAATAGTCTAAGGTACTAAGGGTTAAACTTGGTTAAAATTATGTATTTACTTATTATTGTATGACTTGTATGACAAATAATTGCCGCTAATAACCTAAATAATAATAGGATAACCTAACATAATGATCAAACTTATTAACTTTTTAGATATACAAATATTTAAGGAAGATATTAGTACCTACGACAGCGTTTAATACTTTGCCAAACTTCTATACATATCACCTTCACTAAGATTACACTAATTCGGCGAGAAGTTCGACTAAAGATAAGATTGTGACGCATTAGGATTGATATATTTTCTGCACCAAACAAAGGAAAACTAAATTAAATTACGCTGTTTCAAGTTAATCATCATATTTTTATTACAGCGTGAAGATAATTTGGTAGAGAAAGTGTAATATTTAATTAAAACAGTTCAATTTACTTTGTAGGACAGGGTAAGTTTGTACTTAGATTGTAACTAACAATTTTTTTGGTATCCATCCATGATATCTTGGTATATAATATAATAATCATATAAAATATGTACATTATGTAGTATAAAGGCCATGTTATAATCAGTTTTCTTAAGTAGGCTTGGCGAATGGCGATAACCCAGTTCGTATGGGAAAATGAAATGGCTAGGATTTAATGTGTTCCCATTTTCTAGGGTAATGGTACGATGTTACATTGGTTTTATCGCTTTATGTGTTTAGTACTCAACATGTAATTTCTTAAATTATACGTAAATATAAAAATAATACAATATCGAAGTAAAAATACGTGCCAACTTTATAACCTATATATGTAACTAATAAATAATTCTACTTGCTTTGTTATCCCATTTAAGAAAGTAGATTTTCTACTGTAGCCTGTAATAGCATTAGCTCGTAATAGCAGCCTGAGCGTAGGCATAATGTAATTTACGTGGTACAACTTACATCAGACATAAAACCATAGAGCCCCAGAAGCTAAGATAAATGTAGGTTTACTAAAAGTATTTGAACGAATTAGTTATTTTTACTCTTTTGGAACAGAATTTCACACATTCACTTCTTAATAATTGTTAAGCCAATTTGTTCTACCTATAACAAGGAAGAAATCCAGGGCAGATTTAACTTCCGAATTATGATTGTTTTGAATTGAAAGGCACAAGATTACCTACTTGCCTAAAAAGCTTTATGTATTGAATGCTTATATTGTGACTCCGAAACCACTTTTTTAATGTAATAGGAGGCAATCGGGTAGGAAGCTCACATTGCCAGAAGACTCGCAAGTGCTTTGCTGGGCTTTTCACGCTCTTTTCTTGAAGCACCCTATGTCGAATGGATTCGGAAATACTTCAGTGGACAGCTGGATCCACATAGCTGTGGTGCGCGGCAGAAACTGCCTTAAGAAACGCTCAGTTCTGAAACGAGGGACTTCGAGGTAAAAGGGATGGTATTTTGTGTTCAATAAATATAATAAATCATAGCACCCTCACTGTTTCAGGTTAAAATTAACTGACAAACAATTGCAATTATTCTCATTATTAGAGTCGGAAGATATTATACGCATACTGAGACTAAGATACGTCATAATATTTATCAACCACACACCACGAAGGCGCCATAGTAACCCGGTTGACGCTTACGCATTTCCGAACCAGAAATATCTGTCTAATTCACAGTTTATTAATATCGTCTGACCAAGTGTTATTAACACGTATAATTGATAATAATTATTTGTGTCAGCCTGCCTTAAGAATAGTATAAATTATATACTTTATGAAAAAGTTCAAGAATGGTTAAAGATTTACTTACAGTATTAAGAAAAGTATTTTCCCTTTTAGCTTCTTTAGTAAATTGAAAAATTCTCTACACTGTCTGTTGTACAGTGTAGAGAAATTTACTAAATGTATATTGTATAGTGTAAACAGTTCTGATTAATGATAACGCACAAAATCATCTACCTTTTTACATTGGTTATATGGGCCATATCATATGGGTTATAATATTGACAAAGGGTAATAGACTTTAATTGGCATTACATGCCTGAGTAGAAATTCTTCACCTAATTTAGTCACTAATTGGGCTGGAAGTATGAATCATTTGTGACTATTTGTTAGTATGGTTTTAAAATACTAGCTTTAATAATAAAGAAAAAGGAAGCTGTCCTACACACTTTTGGGAATTAGAATATTTTTGCCATGTTTATGCTGTCAACATTCAATCTGACATCATCAATATTTATTTGAGATTAATTGAATAATTTCAGTCATACAAAGATTATGTAAATTATATGAAAATCTATTGTTACTAAGTATCATATTAATTCTATTTGATAAGGTACATTTTATCATTTAATTGTAACTGATAACTAGTATAACAAAGATAGTAACACTAATATAATACTTAGTTTAGTGAACCAACCAGGAAAAATTTAAACTTTCAGGTATATTAAAAAAAAATATGGCATTAAAAAGTAGACAATATGTATTAATATAATTATGTATTACTTGAATACAGAATGTATAATAATTACAAAAAAGAATTACTATTTCGTATTAATAAACAAATCTAAAAGCAATTTATTTACAGCTTGACTGAAACAAAACCTTGTTAAAATGTATACTGGTATATTGAAGGCCAAGCCATTCTATTCTAAAAGTCAATTGTTTTGATTGATTGCTCAGAAATAGTTTGCACATTACTTCAATTCAAGCAATTGTACATTAACTATTGTTTACACTCTTCTAAATCAAAGAACCAGCTATTGGTTTACAATTACAATAGGGATCCAAGTGGGTTTTGGTGCTTGCAATGCTTACTTAAGTTCAAACAATTGCCTTTAAATTGCCTATAGTTATTTACTTAAGAATTTTTTAGTAACTAGGCATTGCCCATGGCAATTTATATAATGATAGCCATCATATGATAGGACGATTCTAGATTCTGTCTCTGTGCTTTTTCATGAATTCATTGTAGGATAATACTGACACATATAACTAAAAATAATATGAGATTAATGTACTTTAACAACGGTAAAAATATAACGCATATAATCACAACTTGTATTTGAATACTACAGAAACAAGTTATGGTAAGCACAACTTGAATTTTCCTGGTTTATATCATCAGGAAACTTCTATTGCTGCTTATACTTTCCCTACCTGTACTACTTATGTAGCATGTTATTTAGATCTTGTAGATTGCTAATTACAGTAATAAGTCATTAGAAAATAAACATGTACAGCATACAGTCTAAGTAGGTGTATATTACTATTGACAACATTAGTAAATTATGTAAAGACTTTAAACTATGTATAGCTTAATAATATCAAGAAACAAAATAGTTCACTAGCGTAAAAAACTAATAAAAGTAGTAAAAATCTGGTGATATTGTATAACATGAATAAATTTACTTCTTCTATTCCTACAGCTAATATGGTGGATATCTTTATCTCGTATCTCCTCATTTAGAATTTATAAATGTTTTTTTATATCATGAGTACAATAATTAAGAGTCACTAAGATGTAATGCACTAACTATGAAGAATTTCAAGACTCAATTGATTGTGTATTGTGATCTTAATTACTTAGTGATTTGTATAAAGTTCCTACTCAAATGTTAACGTATTGAAATACTAGTCTTGTCAAGATTCAGAAAATAAACACCATGGAGATAGAAACATTCCCTTTGTATTTAAAGGTTGAAAGTGATAAAATAAAAACACAGATAATTTAAAACGGCAATACTTAATATAGGCATTTATCTTTGGAATGAAAAATCTTTTATTAGACAGAAAAAGAAAGGCATGAAATTATACTTAGGAATAAAACATCAGATTACTCACCGAAAGTCCAAACTGAGGTTTCTTTGATGCGTTGGGGGTTTATTACTTGCATCCAGGCGACTACCGTGTATTGGGACATCTTCCAACATGCTCACGCACTGATGTTTTCACAACACAACAAAACCCATAACAAAACCAGCGTAAAATCAAAGAGTAAATAACAACATGGCGCCGTCGACACAGATATCAAAGTCGTTACGGAAATTTGGGAGTAAACTTTAACTATTGGTATAAATACTGCAATGATGGTATTCTTGCACCCAACAAATTTAATTAGTCGACTTTGTAACGTAGGGCATCTAAGGTTTTACGATAACTTGTTTTCTGTATTTACTTTCCCGACTATCTTGATAAGACCACAATCATAGATTTAATTTTTAAAAACGTAACAAACGACGCGACACAACATTTTCAATAAAATTAATATTACTAAATAATAAAAATGGTAAAATAAACCAAATGAAGCAAATTTAAATTATTAGAAATCGATGAGTCTCCCAGTGAGACGACATTAAAAATTCATTCGAGTTTGGTTTTTTTTCTATCCTTAATCTTGTTGCTGTCAACTGTTAGCTGTCAGTTTTTCAGTTGTGTTATTTTTGCTGGATAATTTGAAATAAAAGTTGAAATGTATAATTTATTAAAATCTCAAATATTTTTATAAAGAATAGGATGGCATGTCACACTTTTTTAATAGTATTGTTTAATTGCATGTTTTTTGTTTAACCTATTTTTGTCTGTTGCGCTTAAAACACATCTAATGTTTCTAACCACTATTATTTTTGTAAAAAAAACATTCTATAAATAATATTATATAATTCTAGGTCCTCTAAGTTAGAGCAAAATAAAAAGCCCTGATTGACAGCTGACAGAGAACACCTGACGAAAATTATCATGTGTCATTTAGATTTGAGATTTTAAACCGATTGGGTAACCGGCAACCGCAGGCTTGACATTGACATCCACGTTTGAATATTGAAAATTTTGCTTTAAATGTTGAAAACAAAACTAGAAACCATTATTATATACTTCTAAAGTAACTAAATTTAATAATTAATACTACTTACAATGGAAGACAGTGTAGCGTTAGATTCAAGTAAACAGAAAGAATTTGTAAAGTCGGTTAAGGGAATAAAAAAATTGTTAAAGGTTAGCGACCAGGATTGTGATTTTGTTTTGGATAGGAACTGTTTTAAATTAAATATTTATTTCAGAAAAAAGATAAGAAAAATGACAAAGAAGACAAAGAAGTAATCAAAACTCCTCTCAAGCGCGTGAAACATGGAAAGATCAAGAAACGTATTCCAAGAGGACTCGTATATTTATCTCACATCCCACATGGTTTTTATGAGGTTAGTTTGAAAATATCATTATACTAAAAGATCAATTATGCATAATGAATCTAAATTTACATTGAATGTAATTTACAGAATGAGATGAGTCAATACTTTCGTCAATTTGGAATGGTTACAAATGTACGAGTTATCCGTTCTAAACGAACGGGTAACTCCAAGGGATATGCATTTGTGGAATTTAAGGATCCAACAGTAGCACAGGTTGTTGCAGAGACTATGAATAATTACCTTATGGGAAAGAGACTAATCAAAGGTAAAAATAGCTTATGGTTACTAGAGAGAGAAAATAAAATATACCAGTGACTTTTTATTTAGTATGATATTAGAAGCTTAGTAGTCAACCATTAGCATAGATTTGTGTTATGAAATGTGTCAAATGTCAAGATCTTATATTATATCACTATACTATTAAAGAATTTAACAACTGTATTAATTGGTCAAGACAAGCAGTGATATTTAAGAATGAACTTGTGAAGCTTCTTAAACAAATACTTTCTTTCAGCTGTTTATATACCTCCAGAAAAACAAAAAATTAGCGCCAAAAGAATGCATTGGACTCCCCAAAATAACCCAACAGCTAATAAGAGAAGGGCAGAGAAAAAGGTATGTCATTTTAATTGAAGTAATAAACCTTTAATGCTTATAGAAATTTAAAGTGTTGTGAATTTTGGATTTTGAACTATATGATTTAAATTCAATTCCATGTGTGAGTATTTAATTGAGACTTTAAGACTGTTAATGTTCTAATAAATGTTTAAAACGGAAAGTGTTATTAAATTTTTATGGCTACACTTACATACATATCATCTTGCCAAATCTTTTGAATTCTTAATAAAATTGTAATTTGAAAGATGCTAGCCAACTCAATTTGTTTTTTTATTTTAGAAAATCAATGGCCCAAAATCAGAAGAGGCAGATACTAAGGCAGCAAAGAGTATGTTGAAAACGTAAGTATTGAATCATCAATTTATATTGACAATATATATATTTATAGCTACTAATAACAAATAAAAACTTAATGCTTAATAAAAAATTTAAATTTACTAATTCTACTGTTTGACAGATATTAACAAAATTTAATGCAATTAATAATAACCCAAACAAAACATAAATTTTATTTGAATAACACTTCAATGTGAAACAAAACTAGTATAAACTTAAATAACACATGGGAACAGCATATTTATTGCATCAACAATTATGACTGACATTCCAGTGACCCTGGTAATGTTCCTCTATATTTTGAATGTCTTGATGGAACCATTCCCCCCCAACCATACCTCTTCTTCACTTAGATCACCAGATTTTTGGGTCTAAATGGCTCTGAAGATGCCTTGACGCTCGTATTACAACAAAGCTGCTGGAAGTATGACAACATCAGTTCAATATGCACCGCAGCTTTCCTTCATGTTTACCTGAAAATTTTGTCCAGTCCAAACTAATTCATTTCTGGCATATTTTTCAATGTCAGTCATGTAACTATTAAAGTTTTCATAGTTTATAAAATTATACATATGTATTTAAAACAATTAACAATCTTGTGCCCATCCCATCATAGCTTTAACAAATTGTTTTATAAGCTCTAGTTTTATATGTAAAGAAGGCAGTATTATGCAAACCTGGGCAAGGGGTTCATTTATCACATTCAGTTTTTCTAAAATATCATCATCTTGTGTAATTATATGCCTTTTTACTTACAAGCAACCTCTTTCAGACAAATCCACAGTAGCATTAATGTAAACTATGGATAATTATTATTTTTAAATTATATACATATTTTTACAAAGTTTTGTGTAACTAATATCGCAAATATTTGGCATTGATAATTCAATTTAAGCATTAAATTTCAGTTTACAACAAACAAAAAAGAAACTGAAGGAAATAGGGATAGCATATGACTTTTTTAAGCCAGTTGATATACCAGAAGGTATTAATTATGTACATGATAAAGATGATACAGATGAGAAAAATGGTGACATAAAGAAAGAAATAAAGAAACATGACAAGAAAGAAGTAAAAGTGGCATCTGAAGGCAAGTTAGATGTTAAGAATACTGATAAAAAACCAAAAGGTAAAAATATTAAATTGAATGCTACAACTGATAAGAAAAAGTCTAAAGTCACAGATAAAATAAATAATCAAGATGTTAAGAAAGACATAAAAGGCAAACAGAGTGATACTCTTCCAGTAAAGCAAGAAGAGGTTAAAAAAGAAAAAAAGAAAATAGACAAAATTCAAACAATAAAGAAACAAAAATTAGAAGATCTAAAAGTTGAATTGTTGGAAGACTTTATTAATATACAAGAATCTGATGGAGATAGTGATGGTTCATTGGAGTTTGATTCTGATGAATTTGTTAAAGCAATGGGGGAAGAGTCCTTTGATTCCGAGGATAATTCATCAGATGATGAAAGTAGTGCAAATGAAGAACCAGCCAAGATAGTTATAGGCAGGTTAGTAAACATAGCATACTTCATGTAATGAAATCTTTATATTGCCTTTGTGATTAAACATAAATTACCATTAATTTTCCATGACATTTATTGGAATTTGTCAGCACATTATTTAAGGTTGTAATTTCTTGTGAAATGTGTGCCTTTTTTATAAAAAATAATTTAACTTCAGATCCAGTTGAAAGCTGAAATAGGTCTACTAGTCGTAAGGGTCCTATTGACATTCTATAAGTTTTTTTCTTTCGTTATTAATAATTAAGTTTTTGTCTTTGATAAAACAAAAAGTTAAAGGGTAAAAAACTAAAAGGAACTGACTAACTGAAATGTGATGACAGTGACAGCCAAAGTACCAACTTTTTCCCCACAGATTAGAGTATAAATGTGATAGTTATATGTTATAGTATCGTGTAATGTATATTGGTATTATTTCAGAAAACGTCAAGCTAAGAAAAATGCACAACCAACTGGTAATAAGAATATTAAAAAGCAAGGAAAGCCGGTTGTAGCTCCTAAAAGAAAAGCGGAACAGAGTAAGTAAACAATATGTAATATGTATTTATTAAAATGGTTTATAATTATGATCTTAATTAAGACCTACGCTATAGGTAGGACTAAGCGATAGGCGTGCAAGTCAGGGTTCAACTTTACATATAAATAGAAAGTTTGTGTAAGGACCAGAATCTAAATAAAACAATAGTTTAGAAGAAACAGGTTTATTAAATTTCAGATAATAAAACAATTTACATTACTATGAAGAAAACAACGTAAACCGAAGTTATTTTGATGTCCTTGATATCTTTAGCTTTGTTTATTCTTAATATATAGACGTTTTCCTTCTCACGTAAAATTTAATCGTAGCTTGCCAGCAACTATTTGGCTAAGGGAGCGTTCAAGTATTACGTAACGAATTTTGGAGGGGGAGTCCTTTTGTAAAACGTTACGATACGGGGCGGGGATTGAATTACGCGTTATTGTTAATATTATTGTCGACTTTCCACCACATAATGGTAACTTATGGTTTAGGTATAAAGACTTAAGGTCTGTACTTGGGTACAGAAAAACGTTACACGAGGGGGGGGGCGTCAATAATCTCCAAATTAATCTCAAAATTGCGTGACGTAATACTTGAATGCTCCTTAAGCATTAAAGCACACTTTTGTTCAACAAGAGATTTTTCAAGTCTTAAGATTATTTCGATCTGAGCTATTATACCCGTAAGTAATTGGTGAATTCAATGATTTCACTGCTTTACCATAATTTTATCCTTTTTGAAAACCGTTCGCACTATTGGTTCCGGTAGGTCGAATTTCTATGCCAAATTTTTTTTTTAAATATTTCATTTTTTGTAAGTGTTACGTCAAAAATAAAATGTTATGTTTAAAACTCAGTTTACTCAGATTTAAATAAAAACCTACGTAAATAAAAAAATGTATATACAAAATCAAAATACGTTTATTCAATTTAGATGCTTCTTAGAGCATGCTTATGAATGTCAACAACGTTTACAAAATTCACGAAAGAGCAAGACTACGCCATCCGTTCGCAAAATACAATAACCTAATATTATTTGAACTTAAATAAATAAATATATTAAGCAAGTCCTTTACTGGTTCACTTCAATAAGTTTATAATGAGATTTAAACTCATATTACTACTTTTGCACACGTCTTATTTTTGCTCTAAAAATTATGTATTGTTTCAGAACCCGTACAGACTAAGAAAGTAAAGTTTGAGAAGCAGAATAATAAGAAGACTTTAAACAAAGTTATTAAAAAGAAAAAATAAAGTATTTAACCATTTTACTGTCTTTTCATGTTGCTCGGAAATCCTCATCTTCATAGATAATAGAAATCATTAAGTATAGATTTAAAGTATTCTTCATTTATATACACAGAAAATTATCCCTACTTATAAGCCCTCATTTGTTATTATTATTTATATTATCGCCCTAATTTAAGTTCAAAAGAATTGCGTTGAATTTCAAAATGGCGCGAAAATGAGATTTCAACGACTACGAGTTTTGGGAATGTAAGCTCCGTTTCCTACGCTAAAGATCAAATTTAATTTTAGGCTATAAGACGATATTCGCCTGATATAGGTAAGTACCTTTATATACATAGTAATACCGAGACTGGTATTATCAGTAATCATGGATATGATTCAGAATGACGTCACCGGAGGAAAAATAAACAGTTGTTTAGACTCACTGTACAAGGACTCGTTAGCTCAGTAGGTTAGAGCGCCGACACGGCTTGGACCAATACATCGGAGGACGGAGGTTCAAATCCTTCACGAGTCAGTTTTTTTCCATCATTTTTGAACTACTTTAATAGGAGGAGAACCTGTCTGGAGGCTGTCTGTCTTTTTAATCAGATTTTGCTACCAACCAGTATCAATTTGTTTCGTCATAGAACTAATATTTGAGTGGTATTCTTGCATTTTGATTCATTGAATGAAAGGAAACAAACAGAAAACCTACCTAAAGTTAAACTACGCACTTTAGTTTGGTAGCGACCTACCCTTTTCTTCAGAACATAGTAATTCTGTTTTATTTACTCTAAAACAAAATGTAGCTAATAGCCAGCTTTATAAACTGACATATCACTTTAGGTAGGTCATAAGTGATAAAGTTTTGGACCACTTAGTATCATATTTTCATTTACTAAGCCACATTCATGTATTTAATTTACTTATCATTCAAAAGAAAATACTTTTACACAAATTAAAAGGAAATTATTACCATCATTTTAACATTATTGAATTTATTTGTGTTAGTGTATAGCAATCAAAACGTCTGTAAAACTCTGTGAAAATTCAAAATTATTGTAAATATGTGATTGTTTAAAGGGGCTCCTAGACGGGCCATTTTTTTGACGAAAACGTATAGTGCAAGGGTGTGGCTGGTAGCATCAGCCAGCATTTACCGCTAGACTACTCAGCAAAATTTTTAATATGGCCGGGAAATATTGCCAAATGTATTATGTATGTCCGATGAACGTTTAGTGTCCCAGCCGTATGGCCGGAACGATTGCTTTGCAATCGAAGATACTGCGATATTTCACAGCCATATTATTGCTGTCTTGATTTACGGCCTAAGTGCGTCCATTTTTCATTCTACGTGAAGTTTGCCACGATTCGTACGAGTTGTGCTATGTTCGTTTCTGTTTATTTTGGTTATAAGTAGACCGTGTAAAGACAAAATAATGAGCCATATACTGTTGCAATGCAAATTATTCACAAAATTATGTCATGGTAACAAATAATACAAAATTATTTCAAGTAGACTTTATTTACTTTAAAAGATATTTAATAAAAATTTAATTTTCTTTAAAAATATAAAGGATTTATACGTAAAGGTACATAATTATGATGAAATCATGTGCTTTACATAAATTGAAGAAAGGAACTATTTACAGAAAAAAATATAAAATGTACACAGTACACAATATACACATCACTTTCGAATGACTGAAAAATTCATAAAACATTAAAAAATATCTTTTATCTGGTAATCATTGAAACAAATATCAAGTGTATTCCAACAGAAACACGTTAAAATTTTTCCGCGTGGAAATTAATGATAAAAAAGCGGAATGTGTTAGTATTCCGTTTCTCACTTTTATTGACATAGTTTTGTTTTCGGATAAAAAGTTTACAAGAGTTTTAAACCATCCATTTTTCTGTTATTCTAGAAGTATGTTAGAGGGTAACTCGTCTGTTTCGGCTCCGCATGAAGCTAAATACTGTCTTACGTTGGAGCGCATACGGAATAAGTTTACACGTTTTTACACAGAACGTATGGCATCTATCCCTACTATCCCTTAATGTACCCAACATTATTGAGGGTAGTGGTGAGCAACCCAAGTGTTCTTCAAGAATTTGGTTTATTTGTACATATTTGCGTCGGGGAAGGCCAATGTTGTTTGCGATAGGTACCAAGAGCCAGAACCAATCTGTTTCTAGGCGCAACGTCTTTTTTAACGGGGATGAATGTGTCTCCGACACTACCGAGACTATTGGATAAATAAATAAATACTAATACATAAACATTTTGTACTCGGTTACGATTTGTTGTATCTATCGTTAAGGTATTCGTACACTATTAAAACTGGTAAACTATTTATATTATGTCCATTACTCCATAATTGATTTTTTAATAGATTCAGGAGTGAAGGCGTTTCTGAGTTTCAGGTTTAGTTAGGCTATACTTGTAAGCCTTATAATCGTAACCAGCAAAAATTAAACAATGTTTTATTACGTTATTTTTTGTTATTAAAGTGGGGCCAAACATTCAATAGATATTTGAAATTTATAAAAAACCGATAAACGCCATTCAACTTTTAAAACACTTTATATTCACCGAAAATGGATTTTTTTAAAAACAGATCCCAAAAATGAACAACCTGAAAATCTATCAATAGACAAGATGGCGGATGTGTTTTACGTCAAGAACAAGACGTCATTTAATTTCTCTCTAAATCGATGTCGGAGGCGTTTATTATTAATATTAGAGAATGTGAAAAAGTTGTTTTACTTAAAAAGGTATTTGTATGGAAATAATTTATAATCACACATCAATAATAATTGTCAGATAGCTATAACTACACTTCGCATTGCTCTCCTTAACGCATGTTAGTAATGTGTCAAAGACTTAGACTTACGTGCCGCTGTCTATACTACATACAGAAATGTCGTTGGCGTGGCAACACTCAATATAAGCCGACTGAAGGCTTGTTTCCTTCATGTAATAATTTAAAAAAATCGCTATTGTAGAGATTGTTTCGTTTCATTTAAAAACATCCTTCCTATAAAATTATAAAATTGAAGAACGGTATTTGTTAATATGGATACCATTTAGTTTTTAATAAAACAGCATCGTTACCATAGTAACAAACTTCGGTTCTTCTTCAACTTACTATATTCTTAAATGTTCATGGCAACACTCTTGCCTTAAATTAATTGGCTCTCGTTCTTGAGTTAATTGGTGTTCTATATTTTCTTGGAAATCTAATCATCCTCTGGTTCATCAATTTTGACTATCACCGGCCTCTCATCTTCCTCATCTCTGTCCAATCCTGTAAAATCCCATTGTAATTTGTCTGTTAAGTTGTCTTTAAACCGTTCAATCATTGTCAAGAGTCGGCCATCAACTTTGCTCACATAGGCTGTTTTAAAAAACTCCCGAAGTTTCTTGTAAACAAGATTTTTGTTCATAACAATATCCGCTAGAAAATCCTCCGGCATTTCTTCTATTTGCACTTCAACTGTGCGAATGAAATGGAAGAACACTGACCGGTATTTGTGTATTGCTTCATCACAGGAGCAAAAAATTATCACTAAATTCTTCCAATGTTCAAATGCTTCCAAGGAATGGCCGATAAGAAAGCATAAATATGCAAATTGGAGCTCACCTATAATGTGAAGCGGTCTGAAAAAGTTGGCAAGTTTATAGGTTAAATACTTTGGGCAAGTCAATCTATTAATCTAGATAGGTAATTCAAAATATTATTACTTAAGAAAGTCTTAGTTGAATTCAATAAGCAGAGAACAATGGTTTTAACCACTTACATTCTATGTTATTCTTGAATTGAAATTAGTTTTAATATATACCCTTATTAATATACATAGTAGGAATAAAAGCTATTGTGTGCCATATTAAAACTAAATACTATTTGTTACTATGAATATAATATTTTGAAGTCTAGAATTTTCCAAATTATTAAGCCAACAACTTGCTTTAGCGTGCGACTGACATCCTTGTAGTCGTAAATTCGAACCCCGGCTATAGACTTCTTTGAATAAGTAAACCATAAAGTCGATAGCGTGTGCATCAGGGACAGGTGGCTGACCCACTTGGCAATTAAAAAACAAATGTTCACGAAACAGAAATCTGAGGCCTAACCCTATAAAAGTTTTTCTTCTTCAAACTCAAAACTGAGCACTATCCCTTACTTGAATAGCAGTGACACGTAAATAATACACACACAAATTAATATGCCAGACCATTATTCTACAAACTTGGATGTTTATGATAAAATCTTTATACTTACTCAACATGCTGTGCAATCATTAGTTCAAGTGTGTATGACTGGTCAAGGTAGTGTTTGGTGACTTCTTCTGGAGTCGAACCTGGAGGAAACTTGTCATGTGGTATCTCCGTGAATCTTAACGATGCTCCTGCAATCGTTGTTTTAAATGTCAGTATCACTAAACACCAGCTAATCCACTAGACCAAATTAAATAAAACCGATAGAACATCTGGTGCATTCACTATACATATGAGCAAACTTAATTCTTTTGCAGAGCAATATATTTATTTTATTTACTATTCCAAATTGAAAAGAAGTTAACAAGAAACAAATTCTCCACTCAGTTACAAGGGAACGTTCAAGTGTTACGTAACGCAATTTGGGGGGGGGGCGGTCCTTTTGAAACGTTACAGTGCGTTACATGGGCTGGAGGGGTGTTTTTTAAACTACGCGTTACGTAACATTTTTTATTTTAATAAAAAAACTGGGGATTAATTAGCAACCCTGTTCGTTTATGTTGTACAGGGAATCCCTTTATTGTATGTTACTTTTATTTTTGCTCTCCTAAGTTTATGTTTCGGGAAATCCCTCGACTGTGCGGTCACTTAAATGTTACGTAACGTTAAGGAAGGGTCGGGGGTACAGAAAAACGTTATGGTGCGTTACATTCCTTAAAAATTGCGTTACGTAATACTTGAACGCTCCCCAACTTAAAAAGGATTCTAATTAACTCCTTAAATTGTCAGTCCTAGCACATGTTGCTTAACTTACAAAGATAGTAGGAAAGTAAAACAAACTTGCTACACTTAAAATACATTCCTTAAAAGCTGGTGGTAAATTATGCACATACAATGTATACTAGTCCTTTATAACATTACATTTGTGTGTTTAAATGACATTGCACACATGTGTCCTGATATTGAGCCTATAGTAGAAGTGCTAGTCCCCTGGTAGTTACCTGGCACTGGTTGTAAATTTGGCAGCATTGAGGCTTCCTTCTCAGCAGCTGTGATGCGTTTGGCACGTTTTGCATCTGATTGCCCTGGGGTTTCCTGATTCTTATCTTCACTATCTATTGATGTTTTTACTCCTCTTGGTCTGTCTTTATCGGAAGTTGATAGTAATTCCACAGAGGCTCTAATCAGGCCACTCTCCGGTGAAAATCTGTTTACCAAGTCCTCTGCAATATTACAGATTATCATTCATAACTTTTGTTTTATAAAGTGAGTTTTATCATATAAAATATATTTTCTAATTGTTTTAGTTAGCTGCTTGGAGAAGACACATTTTTGCACTTTTTTATCACTTTTCTCTATAGACAAGTAGGCAATCAGCCATCTTGTCTTGGAACAAATTATTGACCTCTGGATTGAACACATCAATATATGTAGAACAATCAGAACTTGATAACATAAACAAGAACAAAATAAAGTCATTTTGTGCAATTGCTTATTTTAAACAGATATAATATTTAAATTACATTTTTATCCTTTCAAAATTCTTCTTACAGAAACATAAAATCTTATAAAAAATCAGATTCAGGGTATGCAAACTATGATATTTTTATTAATCCTAAGTGTGACTTCTGTATGTCAAATAACATATTGGGTTTGACATAGGGGTCATTGATCTTAGTGCTATGTCACAACTCCTTACTACCCCCTTATATTACCTGTAATCTGGGAAGATAGTAGTTTCCACTTTTGCCAAATATCATAAGGATAAGGACCTAAATGCCTATCCAATGTTAGCAAGTTATCTTTTAAGCGCTGAATACTTTCATCTGTGACCTCATCTTTACTCATGTCCTCAAGATTTTTGTCCCACAGCTTTACAAGAAATTCTTTCTTTTGAAAATAATGCATGAATCCAGACCTGGAAGATGTGAATTACCCAACAATAAAGAGAAATATATCATATCATATTGTGAATCTAAGGCACATGATGATTATCTCAGTTTAATTAGGATAGATTATAATAGCTTAAAAACTGCTTAAAATATTCACTATTCAACAACAATAGGTTACTTAATAGTAAGTGGGTCTCACTAATGTGAGACCCACTCAATGTGTTGATAATAGATCTTGTATATATTTTAAGCTGAAATTTAGGGGACATACCACACAAGTTAGAAATTCTAACTTGAAAGGTTATTAGATTTTAGATTACATTAGATTCCTAAAATGCTAAATACCACATATATATTATGGTAGTTATATACCTTAAATTTATATGTGTGTGTTACTACGTGTTAATATGTGAAATCAATGTGTAATGTATAAGCAGCCCAACATAAAGGTTAAAGTATCCTATCTCCATAGATATTTTAAAACTACGGCGGTAAAAAAGCAACCTTAAGCAACTAACTTGGACTGAATTTTCTACTTTATTTACCTCGGGGAGACATCGCCGGTGCCTTTGCTAACGCCGGAATAGTGGATGTAATGCAAGCCAGGTGGTATCATTTTAATTCCACGAAAGTCTTCATCGGTATTCCAACATTGCATATCGATTCCAAATTGGGTCTCCTGAGGAACACCAAGAAATACAAACGTTCCAGCTTCTATAAGAAGTTTCTTTGCAGTCTCCTGGTCCATTTTGTAGTATTGGTCAAGCTTGAGTCGTGATAACAAATTACAATATTATAACTATAAACTAATCAATATGTTTACATTTAGCGAAACATCCCCATTTCCTTACGGCTCAGTGTGACCAGATTTCATTTGACGAATCTACTCTCGTGGAGGTTAAAAACTACTGAATTCTACCGAAAGGAACGAGAAAATACAAAAATCTATTAATTTTTGCTTTGTTTACAACGTAAAACATGAATTTTCTTGATTAAACGATAAAATAAAAAGTAGTAAAGATTAATTAAGAAGCGAAGTTTTTTTAATTTAATTTTACTACAATTTTTTTTTAAATTAATAATAATATGAAACTTAAAGTAAGATTTCGTCGTTAGTTGAATTGTTAAGCTGTTTTGAGTCCATTACTTGATCATACTTTTGTCAGGATCAAATCTCTACTCCTCCTTCCACTTCGTAGCCCTCTTTTCCATGCATATTGCAGCAACATCTTGTTATTAAACGATTTCTATCTTGACTTTTAATTCTATTAATATCGGAAAATATTCTTTCAACTTTGCTTAGACAGAGGTAGTATTGTCATTTCTTCACAAACCGGGCCAAATTCCATATTTTTTTGCTATTCGCATCGAAATTTGGTGACCTCACTAAAATTTATCCACCTAAAATTTTCAAGTTGAATCGAAGTTGACAATAAATTAGACACGGAAACATCTAATTTTAATTCCCTATATTCGTTGTCAACAATTTATATTCTTGTACTAAGTTAGGAAACCTTTGTAGTATTTTTATTAAGTTCGAAATTCACCATACACTGCCTTTTGGGGATCGATAAACGACAAATCCTGCAAGAAATTATCTTGTAAGGCATCTTTGGAGAAATTGTTTACTTAGTGATCAAAATGTTGACATCTGTTAAGAAACTCTTCAATTTTAATTTCATTCGAACATCATCTTTTAATAATTCCAATGTTATGTAGTTTGTGCCCAGGTAATGTTTTGTATAGGAAGGAAATATACTTGAATGGGATCTATTGACTGAAGCGAAGTATTTTAATATAATTTATCTTCATAAAACAACTCAAAATGGAACTCATAGTTTTTATATTGTTAATTTTATAATGAGCTCTGATCACTTTGAAAAATAACTTAAATTTTTAGTTATGGGTAATATAAAATCTAAAAAGGAAAGATAAAGTTTTTTTCATCGTGTTAAGGTGATCAAATATAAATTGACAAGTACATTTGCATTCTTATTTCCTAAAAACTCATTTTGAAAAAAGTTTTAATGCTGACATGCTCTATAATTCGTGAATCATTGATTAGAAAAGCACCTGATTATAGTGACGAAGCATTGGTGATTGGAGTTCAGTAAAATTTTGAAATTGACAAACTCTCTTTGAGTTGGCTATGTGAGAAAGTATGAATAAACATCTTTGACAAACAACTCTATAGAACGAGGTAATTTTTTGATGATAACTTATGAAAATTTGTTAGAAAAATTTAAAAAAATACAGTTTGGTTGACTTCCTAATTTTAATACCACTATTCCTTTCGCCAAACATAACATTCTTATAGAGGAACCCTATTAAATTTTCTAGTTAAGTTTCTTTCAGATAAGGCAATAAACTATCAAACAAATATGCGCAGTTTCACCTTTTAAGTCCACCATAAAAAAATTTTTTTTGGAATTGCAATTTTTCTGATAGTACTTTATTCTCTGAATACCTTGGTAGTATGAATCTGTGCTTTCGTGATAATGAGCGAAAATACTGGGCTCTCTCAGTTTCATTTTCACCTTGAGTAATTCTGAAGCATTTTTTTTGAAGTTATCTAAGACTTGTAAGCAATTGGGAGATTTATTCTTCTAAGTAAAAACTTTTGATTTCAGAGTCGTGAAATGCCCTTGAAATAACTTGTTAGTGATCATTAGCGAAAAGGAATATTATTTCATAATGAGCTAAATGCTGATTTCGCTTTTTTACTTCTTCCGAAATAGTTGATTTTTAAAAATCGTATCAATCTGTAAACAAAAAAGTTAAAAATAAGTATGAGGACAAAAAAAATCAAAAACTAAGCAATCTTAATAATATAAATCTCTATCAAATTTTGTCCTCAATGGACTCTAAACTACCGAACCGATATCAATCAAATTTGCACACGTGTTAGTTTGATCCAAATTAAAAGGTATTTAAATCTCAAATTATATCGCAATATTATTTTATTGCAAAATATTTTTTATATTGAAAATTCTAAAATCCTGTGTTAAAGTATAATTTCAATAACTTTCATCTACCTTTAAGAAAGTTCTCCTACCCTAAAGATGGCGCTTGTTAAAAGTATCAATTTCACATAAGCTACCTTTAATACTTCTCCTATTTCCTTGAATATTTACTACTATTAATATAACAAAAACCTTAGCCACAGCAAGCTTGGCCGAGTCTGCTAGTTTTAATATATCATTTAAATAAATAAACATGCATAAACAAATAGTTGTATAATAATAATTGTTATTAAATTGTAGATAATAAACATACTTAAAACAGCGAAAGTTTGTTTTTGAATGGAAATCATAAGTTTAGAACATAATAGGTTAGATGAAAGTATTAAATTTTTTTAACAAAAATAATTAACTAAGACTTACATTCCAAATAATGTAAGTACTTAGTACCTTAGAAATGCCGGAATATCCTTTCATTTTTAACTTTGATGTACCATATGTTCCTTTAAAGATGCCACTCTACTTAGTATTCAGTTGATGTTTAAATGAGCACTCGTAGTGTTTACTCTAGATTTAGACAACCAACTTTTAAATGAGGATCTTGCTCCCATTCATGCGATATATTTGTGTATATTTACGTTTCATTATATACTGATTATATAAATTCTCAGTAAAGGTATTCCCACTAATCACAATATCTCACGAGTCAGGAACGAATGGTTTATAGTAACGAAAATAACGAAAATTCAATAGAACTTACCACCCAATCATGAAAGGGGAATACCCCGCATTTTTGATTGCCAAAAAGTACCTACTAGAATAACTGATAAACGTGAATTCTACTAAAATATACCAAATAATTTTTACATACTAAATTCTGTTCCAGTACCTCAAAATCTACCAAAAAAGTAGAAATTACTAAATCTGGTCACATGTTACGGCTTACCAATTTTTGACTTTGACAATGACAAAGGTGAATACAGTAACGAGTACATAATACATAATATGGATATTTTAACTGTGTGGTTGATGCCTTCGCCGCCACAGTCTATGAAAACAATTAATAGTCGTAACAATTGAATAGATAACATATGACATCTGTCATCTTCATACTGACGAAATATTGTAACGATCAACGATGATCAAATCACTCAAAAATTGTTTGTCATGAGTTTTATAACCTAATTTTAGTTAAGTTACATATAAATATTTTAGTTAATAATAATCATAATCAAAATTTAAACAATCATTGCACACTTGAAGCCAATATTTAGCCCTTTAGTTTTTACCACACTCATAAATTGTATTTTAACATTCTCGTTTCGATAATGTCCAATAACATAAGTGTCATTTAGATTTGTGAACCCTTAGATAGGCCAAGTTAGTTTTTGACTTTTGTTAGCGTCGCAACTCCACTACTCGTAATTTTATGTTAGTTATAAGCTCATATTTCAAACCATTAAAGTCAGTTGATAGCTTCAAACAAAGTGTTTTATTTGAACATATTCATACAGCAACCGCCACCGAACTCAATCCATGTTTAGAATGATATATTATTGAAAGTAAAATTACCCTTTATATTATTTATATAATTAATCGAAACTGAAAAAACTTGAAAAATTGTACCTAATTGAATTAATAAAAGAAAAATTAAACTGAGCAGTTTCAAATTCGAAAAAAATAAAAATAATATACTTATACATAATGTTACAAGGTACAGAACCTTATTTACTTAGGTATAGAACGGTATTAAATTTTGATGAAGTATAAAAATTTGCAAGATTTATAATGTGTTAAGAATATTTAATTTGATTTAGTAGCCAACAGTCGACACAAACAATAATTATTGTTATTCTTTAGTCGAACGCGCCGCGAACTGCGTAATTGAAAATTCAACTAATAGTATTTATTATCCTAAGGCTGAATTTGTTCATTTATGTTTGACTTTTGAACTGTATAAAATTTGTATCATGACACGAAGCAGCGTTTAAGTCCAAGAAATAAGCCACACAAGTGCAGCCAGTCACAGACAGGCTAATAGGTGAGCGTGAATATTATTAGTAGCTTATTGGTTTAGTACCTACTTTGTTCTCTTACATAATTTTTTTTATACAGAACTAAATAGACGTTAGGCCACAATCCCACCTGATGTTAAGTGAGATGTGGTCTATTGGAGGGCACGCCTGTCCAGGAGATGCCTATTAAACACTAAATGAACCCATATTAAACTGTCTAGGGGAGACGGAATGGGCAAGGAGTTTCATTCCTTTGCTGTTTTTACAAGACACGACGAACTGGAACGTCTGGGTGAAACTCCAGCGTGCTTCATCTTGTTTGAGAGGGGATGACGGAGTGCAATCTGAAGACTGGTGCCATACCTATGTAATCATATTGTCTTGAAAGTGTTTCAAAATATTGCTAGCTGTACTTAGTTACAATGTCACACAGATACCCAGAACGCACCGTAAGCGTTAATGCAATCAATGCTTAGTCTTATTATTCCATTATGTACCACGAATCAAAGTTATCATGTAAGGGTTTTTAGCTGTAAGAATATAATTATATTAAAGCCAGTCTAATATCGACCACCGTAGTAATAGGGTCTTGCATCGACCACCTTAGGATTAGGGTCTAACATCGACCACCTTAGAATTAGAGTCTAACATCGACTATTAGTTAAGAATACTAAGTGTAATTACGTAATAAAGTTTTCCTTTTTAAAAAAACCTTTAAATACCGTCGCGATTTGACTGGCGCAGCCGGTAGGATATCCGTCGTAATCCTGTGC